GAGGGGGATCTATGTAGGAGATCCTGGATAGAGTGGAGAACAATGTGGAACAAAACTCAAAATTATTTGGGAAAAAAAAAAAAGGGAGCAGGTTAGCTGCTCTGATCAAGCCTGATGGAACCACTGAGACTATGGTCTCTAGCTACCCTTCAGGTCTGGAATTGAACCCATACTTGTGGCTTCCAGCCAAACAAAAGACAGGTATATGAGGTGAACATTTACACTAGGTAGATACACCCCTAGGAACTCTGGTAGCATAGTGCCTAAGGCACTTAACTGCTAACCAGAAGGCTGGCAGCTCATACCCGCCAGCCACTCCTGGGAGGGAAGGTTGGACAATCTACTTCCATAGTGATACTGCCTCGGAAACCCAAGGAGGGGTCACTATGAGTTGGGTCTGACTCCACAGCACTTAACAACAAAAACAACCAGATGCACTCCTTGGAGAAAACAATCACGGGAGAATAGAAGGGCTGTGTATGCACAGGGACATAGCTCAGGGGGCTGGAGTGCCTGGAGGGAAGGACACAGGGAAGAGGTAACTATGGAGAGGAAGTGGGTGGGGGGCTGTTGCATTGTGATAAACTATAGTCATTGTCATGAGACATTGTATATGAAATGCTGTATGGAAAGTGAATTTGCTTTCTAAAAATTCACCCAAATCACAATTAAAAAAAAAAAAATTATGTCCCTCTGTGAGCAGAGTTGTTCTCTGACTTTGACACTCTTTCTCAGTCACTCTTGTTGGGAAGGGTTTCAGAGTTATGTTTCTGTTCTTCTCCAGGATTATTCCTGCCAACATAGGGAGAGATGAGAGTACTCATGATAAAGGCCTTTAGGAAAGCACAGGACAATTGGTAAAATTGACTCAGCATTCAAAAACTTACAAATTGTGTCTGACTTGGGTTTAGTCTGGGGTTAAGGACTTGGGTTTAGTCTGGGGTTAAGTTCTCTTTTAATAATCCAGACCCAGCCCCTCTGGGGTTTCCTCCAGAAGGAAATTACTTGTGCCTGGGAGTTTTGCATTAGAGAAGCACTTGGAGATTCCCAGAAAATCATCAAGAGAAGGGAAATCTGGAGATGGAGGAAGAGATACAAGGACAGCATTTCTAGAACACTTCAATTAAACTTTTTTTTTTGTTGTTGTTGTATCTAAATTATCCTCTGGACATTTCTTTGGCATTTGGGCACTCTGAATTGTAGAGTTGAGCCAAGTTCTCACTGTCTTTCAGCAAAACAGAGCTCAGCTAATTTCCTTGCTTTTCACCCATTTAAGAGAAACCAGTCTGTTCTGAACCTATGTCCCTGACTTCAAAGGCCATGCTCTACTAAACTGTCCTTGATCTCCTACCCACTCAAATATTCAAGCCCAATCTAAGCCTTGATAGGCCTCTCCTGAAGCCATCCCCACTGGCAGCTTCTTCCCATTCTCATTCCTGAGTCATACTTGTAGCTCCTAGCCTACTGCCCTCCCTGGACAAGACATCTCTGACTGTGGTTCCTGTTGGTTGAAGCATCTGAGGCTTACTCTGGCCAGGGGGTCTACATGGCTTCTGAGAATCTCAAACTCCAAAGTCTTCCATTATCTTACTTCCATTACATCCTTGCATCTTGGCATTGGGGAACACAGACAACACAGCACTCTTCTTTTGGGAAGTCTTGAGTTACTCTTCCTTTGGGAAATAAAAACAGTGGATCCTATAGAGTTATGTTGCATGGTGGTGGCTCCCCCTTTTCACAGTATAACTTTACAACAAATTGGTATGGATCTAAGGTCAACATTATCACTATTGTGTGAGTCAAGTGTAGGTTTTCATGGGAATGGAAGGTTAGGCAGAGGTCACAGCTAAGAAGCATGTGTTTGACATCCAGTATCCCTTCTCCAACCTGACTGATCAATGTTCCAGAAGGCTGCGAGAGCAAGAGCATGTGAGGAGCATCTGTTGTGACTGCAGGTGTGGAAAAGAGGTCAAAAACTGTTGTTAAGAGTAGCTGGCAAGCAGCTACTTCTCAGCCTTTAAACTCTTTACTCCCAAGTGTGATGCACTACTATTGTAGTTAGAGATTGAAAGGCATAGGCTGGTGTGGTGAGTGTGAGTTTTGGAGCTGATCAAGAAAAATACAGGAGCATGAAATGTGAATGTTGCACAAGCTTTTTGTTGGATGATGCTTGGACAGGGTTGCCAGCAGATCTTTGTGAGATAGTTGCATGAGCTACCTCTGAGAAGGGGAAAAGGGCAAGAGAACTATCAGAGGAGAGGAGAACTGGAGAGAAAACTTACATGTCTAAGTGATGTTCCTCAGAAGCAAAGCTTTGAAGGACAAGTAATGGTTTGGGGTCTTTTATAGCTAGTTTATCAATGCTTTCATTCTACTCGGATTAACAATCTATGCCCATAGGAGCAGCAATCAGGAAATCAAATGATATATTGCATTGAGAAAATCTGCTGCAAAAGATCTCTTTAAAATTTTAAAAAGCAGAGATGTCACTTTGATGACTAAGTTGTACTTGACACAAGTCATGGTCCTTTCAATTGCCTCATATGCCTGCAAAAACTGGACAATGAGAAAGGAATAAAGATCTATTGATGCATTTGGACTGTGGTGTTGGTGAAGAATATTGAATATACTGTGGACCACCAGAAAAATGAACAAATCAGTCTTGGAAGAAATATAAGAAGAATGCTCCTTAGAAGTTAAGGATGGTGAGACTTCAGCTTATTTACTTTGGGCATGACATAAGGAAAGACCAATCTCTAGAAAAGAACATATCATGGTTGGTAAAATTGAGGGTCAGGAAAAATGAGGGAAACCTGCATTGAGATAACTGACACAATTCAAACCAAAACCAAACTCACTGCCATTGAGTTGGATCCGACTCACAGCGACCCCTCCTTGGGTTTCCAAGGTGGTATCATTATGGAAGTAGATTGCCCAATCTTCCTTCCAAGGAGTGGCTGCTGGGTTTGAACCACCAGCTTTCTGGTTAGCAGTCAAATGCCTTAGGAACTACATCACCAGAGCTCCTAATTGACACAACAGCAAAAAAAAAAAAAAAAAAAAAGACTCAAACATGGCAGCAACCATGAAGATGGAGTAGGACAGCAATGTTTCATTCTGTTATACATAAGGTCACCATCAGTCAGAGCCAACTACCATCATCTGCAAGGTTTGTCTTATCTAGGGCTAATAGATGATGACCACAGTTGTGCTAGGTGTGCCAAACAGGCAGGCTCTAAATAGCTAAAATCCAGCTAAAACAGTTACCATGGAGTTAATTACAATCCATGGCAACCCTATGTGTGTCGGAGTAGAACTGTGCTCCATAGGATTCTCAATGTCTATTTTTTTTGTTATTTTGGGTGATGGGAAAAGTGACAAGAACTTAGTGTAGTGAGCACTGTTTGAGTAAGGTAAATGATGCTGCTGAGAAACACTTAAGAGAAAAGGATGTTTATATTAAAGAATTTGACATAGGTAATCTGGCAACAATACCAATAATGACCCAAAAAAACAAGTGGTCACATATGTAGTATATAGGCATATAGATTGGTACAGATGTATACATAAGTATGCACAAATAGAACTATCTATATGTATGAGTAAGTACAGATATGTGTGTGTAGGCACATATATTCATAGAAGACAAAATTACAGATACTTCTCAGACATAATCATACAACTTGTGACATTGGTTTTCTAGCTTTGAAGGCTTAGGACCTTAGTCTTACGGGACAATTCAGTCAATTGGCAAAATAGAGTTCACAAAGTTCATGTTCTACATCCTAGTGAAGTGAGTAGCGTCTAAAATTTTAAAAGCTTGTAAGCATGAATCTAAGATAAAAATATCGGTCTCTACTCACGAAGAGCAAAAGAGTAAGAAGTAAGCCAAAGTCTCAGAAAAGAAACAAGTCTACATGCCTAATAGCCTACATGAGTCATGATGTCATCTATGCTGAGACCCGGAGAATTAGATGCTGCCAGGTACTACTATAAACTGTTCCAACCAGGCTTACAATAGATGGTCCTGGATAGAATGAGAGAAAAATGTAGAACAAACCTCAAATTCTTAAAAAAGACCAGACTGACTGGACCAGTTGAAATAAAAGGACTCCCTGAGACGATCACCCTGAGATATTCTTTAAATCTTGATCCAAAACTTTCCTCTGAGATCACATTTTAGTGAAAGACTAGTGGCAGACAAAATAAAGGCTATTACCCACAAGTACAGTGCTTTCCAAAAAAACAAAAACACTCCATCTATATAAGACACGAAGATCACCATTTACTCTAAAGTGAAGATAAGAAGTTAAGGGGTAGGGAAACTAAAGTACTAGAAACAACCAGAACACAATTAAAGAGAATACTGGCACATTGTGAAAAATGTAACCAATGTCCCTGAAAAATTTGTATACAAATGGACAAATAGGAGCCTAATTTGCTTGTAAACTTTCACCAAAAACACAAGAAAATACTATTTTTTTAAAAAGAGAGGGTGAAAAAAAAAACACTGTTTAGGGCCGAAATCCAATAAATGGGGAAGAGAATGTTTGTTTAATAAATGGTGCTGGCAAAACTGGACCATTTGCAGGAAAATGAAACAAGATCTGTAGCTCACACCATGCACAAAAACTAACTCCAGATGCATCAAAGACATGTTCTATGTGGCTAGATACATAGCCATACAACCAAAGTGAAGAGGTAGTATGGAGAAAAATTCTTCACCAGCATTAGGAAATATTTTCTAATGGATCTGTTTAAGTGAACTGGGGTATTTTGATGAGCTGTGTTCCAAGTAGCTGGAGTAAAGCAAACAAACAAGTTGTCCCCTCTCCTGGGAACACTGTAGAGTGGATTCAGGTGATTTGATCTGAAATTTATGATTCTATAATTCTAGTGGAATGCCTGAGGGCAAGTGATGGGAATAAATAAAGTTAGAGCCTCCCACGGGGACTTTCTCAGGAATGGGCTCCAGGATGTTCCAGTTTCTTCTACTGGGCATATTCACAGTACTCTTCATGGATGAGGGTAAGGCCTGGAGAGGGAAGCAAGGGTGGGTGGTGGGAGAGTATATGGGCAAGATGGGAGGGGTTTCTAAACTGGGCTTTTGGGCCTGCTGCAAATTGGCTTAAGAAGAATTTTTCTTCTCTTTACAGGAGACAGAGTCCTGCCATTGAAATGTAGGTATAGTTGGTTTGTAGTTTTTGGATAAATAATGTCACAATGAAAGGGAACATGGACATTATTGAATTTGTTACACATTTCTCCTCTACCCTTCTTGATTACACCCCATTCTCCTTAACCTAGTTTAGTGTCTTTTTTCTGCTTCAGCCCTTGGTGGTGGTGGTGGTGGTGGTGGTGCTTGGCTCCTTGAAGGACCAAAGCTGTAACCTACTTAAAAGAGTAAGGATCCCTGGCAAATGGTGTCAACTTCTGATTTTGAGGTTTGCACCATCCCAATATTTACAAGTAGGAGCAGTCTTCTGAAGAGGAATCATTTTCCCTAGAGCTCTGCTTTGAAGCTTTCCTCTTTTTGTTTAGATATTCGAAACTGCAGAAAATGTGATTTCTTTGATGGGTACAAATGCCATGGAGGCATGAAAAGTTGTTGGAAGTTTAATGTCTTGATGAATAATAGGACCTGTACCACAGATCATTATTACTTTAATGATCGCAAGACAGGTAAGTGAGAGTTAAAGAGACACGCAAAATATCACCAATGGTGTCCATAACTCTGCCAGTCAAGGGGTGCATGGAGTCTATGATCATGTGAGAGCAGAGAGAAAACAGAATTCTCCATCCACAGAATACACAGGTGGGGGCTGTGTGGGAGGCAGATGTCTTTTGTTTGGTAATAACTAGGGAGACATAGATGAGAGGCAGACACAGCGTTGGGGCTCATTCCAGTATATAGAAAATGCATTAGTTTCTAGAGAGAGACCATTCCTAGGAACATGATGAAATGAGGCAAGATGATCACATTTGCTTTTCTTCTTTATAGGGAGATATATGTTTCGTTATACAAAACTATCCTGTCGGTCTTGTGAAGAGGGAATGTTTCAGGTATTCCATGACCTGCTGAGAGAAACATTTTGCTGCACTGATGAAGACATGTGTAATGATGGCAGAAAAAATATAGATTTCACAATTTTTGAAGACATATATGAAGATGATTAATAAAGTAATTATGATTTTTAAACCATATGTCCCAGGAGTCTTGGTCTTTCCTTCCCTGATGACAACATCATTTTACACTTTCCCAGAACCTAGACCCTACTCTTTTCTCTACTTCTCTACTACAGTAGCTCCACCCATGAAAGCAGAATCTTCCCTGTGTTGGTTCTTCTACAGGAAAGGAAAAACCCTGGTTACAAAACTTGCAACTGTCCCTTGTTGCTGGGATTCCCTTCTTTTTTCTACCTTACACCTCTGGAAGTTTCTGCTTACCCTTAAGCTCTGATGTTAAACCTGGGCTACAGTCAAAATTCCAGAGTAAAGAAAATCAAAGATGCATGGAAACAGTCCACAGGACTAGTGGGCCATGAGAACCTCAGCCTATATGATCCTGAGACCAGAAGAACTAGATGCTGCCCAGCTACCAATGCCAACCACTTGGAAAGGGATCAAAATTGGAGATCCTGGACAGAGTGGGAGGAAAATGTGGAACAAAACCAAAAATCATTATTAAAAAAAAAAAAAAAGAACCAGGCATACTGATCTGATATAGGCTGGTGAAACCCCCAAGACTATCACCCTAAATCATCCTTTGGACCTGGAATGGAACTCACTCCTGTGACTTAACTGTCTGCCAAACAGTAGATAGGCCTGTGAGCTGAACACCTATACCAGTGAGATGCAATCTAGCATGGGACATCAGAAGGGCGACATTTGCACAGGGAGAAACGTAAGGAGGCAGGAATGCATAGGCAAGAAGGACACAGGGAAAGGTTAGCCACAGGGAGGAAGAGCTGTTACAACTGTAGAAAATGTAACCTGTTTTTGGTTCTTCATTGCTGCTATAACAGACATATACCACAAATGTATGGCTTTAACAAACAGGGATTTATTCTCTTACTGTTTTGGAGGCTAGAAGTCTGAATTCAAAGTGCCAGCTCTAGGGGCTGGGTGAAGGCCCTTCAAACTTGGGCTTCAGCTCTGCTTTTTGCTCCTGGCCCATTGGAGCTGGAGGCATCTCAATTCAGGCAGCTGCTCGCTGTTAAGCCTGACAAGCCCAAGGTTGACAAGTAAGATGCCACAGTCCGAAGATCATCAAGCAACACAGCAGGCCACTAGTTCAAGTCCAGAAATAATCCCAAGATTAGCAGACAACATAGCAGGCCACTCACTGATGACTTAGCCAAACGCAGGATTCAAATGAGCCAAGAAACTCAGAGACCTTTCTCAAAGCACCTTCTTATATACTGGAAGCAGATCACATCCCTATGACAGCTACTTAGCTACTCCCAGTAGATTCCACCATGGAGTAGGTGATTACCAGTCTCATCATGGGGAATAAGTTATTCCAGCTGCCCAGACTTTCAAAACCAGGCCCAGCCAAGTTAACACACAAACTTAACTACAACATAACCAGCTCACAAAGCAAAATGTGTATGAACCATTGAAAGTAAAATGAATCTGCTTTGTAAAATCTCATCTACATCACAATAAAAAGTTAAAAAAGAAAAAAAATTCTAAAGTTCCTGGCAAAGGAAGCAAAATACTTTTCTAGTACAGCTTCTGGGGAAAGATTGGGAGAAAGCAGACTAACTAAAAATGGAGACAAGAAATCCCAGAAGTTTTAAGGAGAAATATTTGGTAGAAGAGTGGAAGAGGTATTTGATGGATATAAGGAGGGCTTTTATTAAGCATGGACTTAGGAAAGTTAATGAGAAATTATAAAACATTCTGTTATGTTCAGCTTATGTGAAACATTCAACTTATGTGAAAGGAATGATCAATGTATTAGACATAGTAATCATAGAATCTATCACCATTTTTTTTTTTTTGGCAAAAATATACTGACCACAGCTATTTATGACCAGGCAACTTGAGCCCACCATATTTCTAATCACGTTATTTTATCCTCATGGACAAAGCCAACTGTATCTGGATGGACACCTGAAATAGTTTGGCCTTTTACTCTGTCTCCAGGCACATGAGAGATATTCTGCTACTCAATCCTCAAAAATACTAAAATCTTATCTTGAATTCAATACAGCCATCCATAGAAAGCTGTGTGTTTTCATCTATTGCCATAATCATGCAACAGAAAATGTCATGGAGAAATAAGAGTTTTGGATCCGTACTGAAGTTTTCTCAACAAATACAACAAGCCATGAAATGACAAAAAATAATCTCTGAATTATTATTCAGTAACCTTAGGTTTAATTAATTATTATTATTATTTTTACCATGTTAACCTTCCTATATTTTATTTATTTATTTATTTTTTATTAGGATTTGGGTGAAGATTT